CTGTTTTGGCCATGACGTCCATCTGGCTCCTTCCCAGGTCTGACAAACTTTGGTACCCAGCTCCCTGTGGAAGTGTCATAGGACTTTTCCTGGCTCATTAACAGGAACTCTGCTCTTGTTAGCCCACTTGTGCCAGCTTCCTAACTGGCTTCCCTGCCCCCAAACATGACTTCTCTTGGGACGATAGTCTTCTAAAATCTTCCCCAAGAGATTCTGCCCTGGGGACACTTTTCCTTTTCCTTCAGCCATTTAGTTACTAAATATAGATTTATGCTCCATTTAGTAAGGACAGATACTCCTGTCACTTTAACAGTAAAGTAGATACTCTTGGAGACTGAGGGGGAAAAATCGACACGAGGAAGATAAAGAGATCTTGGGAAGACGGCTGCTGTCAGCTATTTTGGGGCGGGAAAGTTCACAGTGCTTGGTAAGTTCATGAGTCATCTCTGGTTGAGGGGCTGAAACTTCATGAGAGACTGATGTGGGAGGGATTATGGGAGTATTTCTGGCTTTCAGAAGGGAGGCCAGGAGCTTCTGGGCTTTGAGTAACATGAATGAATCCACGCTACGTGTGGGCTGCTTCTCATTTTCACTATGCTGATGCTCACCCACCACCCCAACCCCACCCTGCAGAAACAATGGTCTAACCACTCTTTGGACAAAGCTCTTTCTGTTTCCCTTTCCCTCCCCTCCTCTCCCCCCACGTCCTTTCTCCCTCTTTAAACTATAGTCCTCACTTTTGTTTTTGTTGTTCCCTAGCAGTCCTGGAGATTGAACCCAGGGTTTTGCACAAGCTAGGAAAGCACTCTACCACTTAGCTACTTGACCACATCTTCAGGACTGCCTCAGTGTTCATGAGGTAAGCAGGCAATACTATTTTACAAACAAGGAAACAGAAGATAAAGCTCACAGCCAGGTCACACGGCACTGTCATGTCTGACTGAAAGGCCATGTCCTTGCCAGATTAGACGTACATTTCTTGATGCCCATTTTCCAGCTCTCCTAGCTTATAGGAAGAGTGGAGGGACTGACATCGTGGGAGTGACAAGGACCAATTCCTGCTCATGTCTTTCTCTGCTATCTGGGGATCAATTTCCTGTTCTATTCTTACCTGTTTTGCATACTGGCAGGGCTGTTTAGACACTGCACATTGTTTCCATTTCTGATAGAATGTGGGAACACCCTAATGATTTTTTTCTCTCTATTCTGGCCATTTAAGGACCTCATAAGTTCACAGTGTGTAGTTGTGGAGTCAAAGGCATGCACATAATCAGATCCTGGGAAGATAAATCACAGCTACACGATGTGTATAGTCAAGCTGGGTAGTGGGCCTCTTTCTAAACCAAGATCGTATCTATTCTTCAAAGGAGTATCATAACATAATACTTTTATCTTGTAACACTTGTTTATAAAAACAATCCATTGTGTTTTTATATATAAATATGGAAGATTGGTTCTAGAATAAGGAATTTGGGGGCATTTTGTTTGTTCTGGAAACATTAGTATACAGTATTATAGTTGCTTCAACTTTACCTTTCTGAATTTGACACTTCATATATAGATTCTTAAAAATACTAAAAGATGTGTCAGGGGTGACTCTTTTCACGGGCACTAGTAAGAATTTATTAATTACTGTATTTGAAATTGTAGATAAAGAAGAAATAGTTTGAAAAGTGGCTGATTCATAACATGCAAAAGCGACTGATTTGGGTCTCTTTGTTGTCTCCTTCATAATCCACACCTTTTATCTTTAATGTTAATGCACTAGTTGTAAGAAAATGTCTTCTTAAAAATGTGTAGATAACATTCAGAAGTCGTTGGGTTTAAGCTTTGTTTTAAAAATGAGAAAAATAGAGAATTGAGGAGATACCTCAGTCAGTGTGTAAAGTTATTGCCATGTAAGTGGAGGACCGAGTTTGGATCCCTGGAACCCACATCTAAAAAAGCTAAGATGGTCATAGCAGCTAAGTGGTTTTTTTTTTTTTTTGGTTTTACGAGACAGGGTTTCTCCGTATTGTTTTGGAGGCTGTGGGTCCAGCCTGGCCTTGAACTCACAGTGATCCACCTGCCTCTGCCTCCCGAGTGTTGGGATTAAAGGCATGCGCCACCACTGCCCGGCATATGCAACTAAGTGTTTTTAATTTAGACACTGATAAGGTAGAGACAGGAAATTTTCCGGTATTCTCTGGACAGACAGATTAGCCAAATGAATGAACCCCAAGTCCTAGTGAGAGTTCCTGTGTGAACACACACACACACACACACACCACAAATGAATAAGACTGCAATAAACAGACAAGTGGTGAGTATTTCAGAAATAAGGAATAACATAAGTGGCTGGCAACTCAAATAATTTAAGGCAATTGCATCTAGTAGTATCATGGTTTCCTAATAGAATGAGAGGGGAAATATAATGTTGGTAAAACATTAGATTTAAAGTCATATTGTTGATAACATTTGATATAAGACTTGGAAATATGGCTAGGGACAACATGCGACTCTGCATTTACATCTCCTGTAATGACTAGGTGGATATTGAGAAAATCCACCGAGACTCAAGGTTCTTGCTTCATTTCTGTTGTTGTGATAAAATAATCTGACCAAAAGAAAATGAGAAAAAGTATGGGTTACTTTAACCTACAATACTAGGCTACAGTTCATCGCTGTAGGAAAGTCAAGGCAGAGGCCTCAAACCATCGTATCACATTTACTGTCAAGAGCAGAAAGAAATGAATTCATGCATGCTTACTCACTCATTTATGCTCAGCTCAGTTTCTCCACTCTTATACAGTTCAGGACCCCCTGCATAGGGATTAGTGCTGCCTACAGTGGGCTGGATCTCTAAGATAGCCCCCCACAGACTCACCCATAGGCCAACCCTAAGTGGGCAGTCTGTTATTCAGAATCTTCCCAGGTAATCCCAGGTCACATTAAGTTGATAACTGAAGCTAACTATCATACTAGCAGTAGGTTTAGAACTGAAAATTGATATAATAAAGATGTATGGGGTTTTGCCATCATTCCATTTCATAGATGAACAAGTTAAGCAATTTATCCAAGGTGATAAAGATTTGAACACAGATCTGTTTGAATCAGGAAATTACATTAACATGACCATTTCTTTTTTGTTGTCTTGTGTCATTTTGATTGTTTGTTTGTTTGTACATTTATTTTCAATGCATCAATTCCAATTAATGCTGCCTACACATACATGGGTGTGAAATTATCTACTGGGACACGGGAAACCCACCAATGGCCAAGCCTTGACAAGGAAAAGTGACTTTCTCTCCTCCAGCAACCAGCAACTGCCAGTAGCTCTTCAACCAGGGGTGGGGCCTCAGTAGGCCCTCCACACATGTGCTGTAATTTTGTGCAGGTAACCACACCACAGCTACTATGAGGTAACATGTGAGGCTGACCCTTTTCATAGTCATCTTAGCAAGAACTTTCTGGCTTCTTTTGAGTGTAGTACAAAGCCAAATCTGCCTGAATAAAAGATGCACATATAGAGTGTACGCGCACGCACGTGCACACACACACTAAATTATGAAGTTAACTCTGTCCATGGAAAAGGCTGTAAGAGCAGAGTGGCATGGCTAGGGAGAAAGGAAGGAAGGGATAATATCATTCCTTTGGGCATTTTGGTTAGAGTCCAGACTGATCAGTTGTGTGGTTCTTGGAATGAGTAGACAAGGGGGTCCCTCTGGAGGAGCTTTGTCCTGACCTGGTGGTGAGCAGGGGAGTAGTTTTGGAAGTGGTTTTTGAGGGAAAGGTCAGAGGGTTGGTGTCAAAGATGACTCTTGGCTTTCAAACTTAGGAAACACCAGGACACTGAGTGGGTCAAAGTGGCTTCAGCATGGCAGAGGGAGGAGAAGGGCAGATTTCAAAAGAACAAGTGGTAGGCTAGAGGACGTAGTGGGAGGACAGCAAAGACATTTCACTTTCCCTATGACCAAATCTCCTTTTACTCATCGCATCATGTGCCTCCTTCGCCACAGCTTCTTATTTCTGGGGTTGCCCTCTCTGGGAGTTGAGGTTGTGTCGCACAGCATGTGGGATATGTAGATGACCTGGGACAAGCAAAAGGCCATCTCTTCTACAGTCAGAGCAAATAGAAAATGGGGTGTCTGTGAATGGGGTGATAGACTAAACAAGAGAGGGTTAGCAACAGAGATTACATTATTCTGACATCTCTGTGCTTAGATTTATTCATGAGCAAAATGGGCACGATGTCCCATGAGCTGCATCTCAGAGTCAGCATGAGGATTGGGTACAACAGTAGTTTGGAAGGTTTGAAGAGCCAAGCACATGACAAACAGGCAGTGCCAGCTAGTACGTTACCTGATGACCTCCTCCAACTCTTTTTTACTTCTCCATTCCCCAGGCTTGGGGAACAGCAAGTCTAGAGAATTTACACACAAAGGAGAGATGTTTTCACGAAAGGGTGTCTTAATGTTTCATTCAAACTTCAGATAACTGTATTTTGAGGCACTGTCCCTAGTGAGGAAGCCAGACACAGCCTTGCCCCCTATAGTCCAGACACTTTTACCTGTTCTGGAAAATTGTTGGCTTTTCTCATTATTTTTGTGTAATGTTTTTATATTATTATTTTATAATCAGGGTGTTTGCAGGACATCTTTTTACATTAACATGTACATATGCACACGCTTTAACAATTGCTCAGGGTGAAAGATAACAAGCTAAAAAAGGAAGTGCTGTTTTCTTATTCTGAGGTTCTCTACTGACATTCAGGAAGTCGATATTACTCAATTTTTAAAGATGTCTCATTATGGAGAGATACATTTAGGCAAACACAAGCCTCATTTCTCTACAATGGGTAGAGAACAAGGAAGGAAAAGAGGATTTTGGAGGAGTCCGAGACTTTTAGCAGCAGGGAGGTTAAGGGTGAGTGGGAACATTAGTAAGTAGATGTGAAGGGCAAGTAGGAACATTAGCCCATAAGTACTGATCGACGCAGAAAGGAAAAAAGTAAGCTTGGATAAATGCAAGAAAACTTTATTGGAATCTACTCTGTACAGAACATGTTAATAACCAGCCAAACCCTAAGAGTCTGCACAGGCAGGGCCAAGATGTATGAATGGAAACATTTCAAGCGCAAGTCTACAACCCTCAAGGGCCCTTCATATAAAATATAAAGAACAATCTTTGCTGCTCAGACCTCGCAAAGTTTTCTTTAAGTTTGAATGGTGACTATTCCATGCCTTATCAACACACCACATCCTACCACTTTTCTATGAGGCTACTTCTCTCTTGTATATAGTTGTCCTGTTTCAGCATCAATTGCTCTTAGTCCTTCTTTGAAGGGCCAGTCCATGCCCACTGCTGACTAAGGCAGTATCAGAGTGCTGTGCATTTTGCTTTTCCTGTTTTCACTCGAGCCATGAGCTGAAAAAGTCCTAGCCTTCCTCCCTACATTTTATCACAATAACTGATCTTCTCCTGAACTCTGTGTCCAGCTGGATGAAACATGGGGTTATCAAAACACCCGTTGACCACCAAGGCCATTGCAGTCTTCATCCATTGGGAGGTACCATCCATCTCTGGCTTCTTGACTGGTCCAAGGATTGGGGAAATCAATCAATCCTTCCATGAGCATTGTTGGTTGGACTCTATTGATTTCCCCATGTTTGGAGCTGTCTTGTCCTTGCACAGCTGTCCCCAGACCATCACTGCCATTCCATTTTTCTCAAGAGGAAAAATAGGACTCAGGGCATGTAGTACGTCTTGCTTTCTTCGGTGATGCCTGTAAATTCTTGTTTATTGCTGGCTGATTAGGTGGATTCTGCCAATATCAGCATCATCCCAGACAGGAGTGACTCCTGGGTCCAGGGATGGTTCCATTGCTGTCTTTCTGTATCTCCCAGCATTGAGAATTCTGTGCTGTTATCTATACTTTGGTCATCGTGTTCTTTACTGATCCTGACAGAGTGACAAGTTTTCCTAATAAGTGGTGGGTCTTTCTCTAGAGAATAGCAGTTATGCTACTACAGTATACACTCTTTTCTATTTTAATATACTAACATGGACACATCAAACAACATAATCAAATACACCACTCCCATCCTGACTGAAGAGGTAGTTATTCAGGCCCAAGAGCACAAGACGGAAGTGGGCTATCACTTTTGTTCAACATAGATGAAAGCCAGTATTCCTATCACAAGGAGTTCCGTATAAAAACACTCTATGCAAAGTTAAGAGAGGCATCTGAACTAAAGGAGGAGAAGTTGATCCAAACTGTTATTCCCTAGCAAGGAGCCATTTCAGTGCACTAGACCTGAGTGTGAACTGAGTCAAACAAAGCAAGACAGAGAATTAGTGTCTGCTCCTGGCACCAGGGAACAGAGCTGGAATGAGAGGGAATGTTTTGCCTACAGGGAGTCTCAGAGCACCACATACCCTAATAATTATATTCTCTTCTCTTCTGGGAATTCAAAGAGGTTGCTCAAAAACTTGCCATGTAAAAGGGATAAAGTATGGACACTATTGTGAGTTTCATTCTTTAATGTAGTACTCCCATCTTCTGGGGATGTTTTTGGATTGTGAGCAATGCTGGGCTTCTTATTTCAGACATACAGGCTTTTATTCTGGAAAACAAAACAAAACAGAAAAACAAGAGACTGGGTGAGATTTCACAATAGGACCACTTTCTTTTGTTAGATTTCAAACAGAAGGCTCTAGGCGGCCATTGTAATGTATTGATAAATAGAAACAAAGTACTGAAACAGAGGACAAGAAAGCAGAAGGGAAGAAAGCCAGGCTACACTGTCACCCTTCGCTTTGCACAGGTCTAGGTCCTCATCCTGACGTTATGTTGACTCTTGATGCCGTCCGTCCTTCTGCACACCTTTCCAGAACATTTCTGAATCAAGGCTTAGAGGACCAGAAGCACCTCAACAACTTTGGCTCTCCACCCAGAATTCCTGGAGTGAGTCTTGTTGCTAGAGTGTGTGATAGAGTGTGTGATAAATTCTGAGCTGTGTGTGGCTTCTGCATCCTGGGGTTACTATAACTGTCTCTTCAATCCAGGTTTTTTTTTTAATAGGGAGCTTTGATCCCATGACCAGGTAATCAATGCCTTGGCATTCTTGAGCTCTCAGCTCCTCGCTGGTGATGGAGGAACGGACAACCCAATTGTGTCATGTTGTCGGAGTACTGGTCACCAAAAACTTTCAGCCTGGCATTGTGCTGGGTACTATCAGCCCCTGTGATGTTTGCCTTCTATAGAGTTCAGTTAACAGCATTTCCTAAGGTAATTTTAGATAAGCAAGCAAGGATCCATGCGACACTGTAGCAGATAGACATGATTAAGTTTGGGAAAAGGTTTTTAAGGAATTGCTGGTGGGGCCTAGAGCTGAAGAATGAGGGAGAAGAAACAGTAGGAGCTTCCAAGTGATGGGTACAGCAGGCACAAAGGCACCGAGGCTTAAGGGCATATGCTATTATTCCCTGCTTCTTTATTTACTCATCCTATATATGCAAGAGGCTCAATAGTTCAGTCACTTTTAGGTGCTGAAGTTGCCATGGTGAATGAGATGCGGCTATGTCTACTGCATCACATCACATCCCTGAGCTTTGCTTATTCCTTGCCCTTGACTGACTCGGCATGTCCTTGGGGCACTGTGTATTAGATACTGCCGCTGTTTGGAGCCTCTTTCCTCCATGCTCTCCCTTGTCTTGCTGTCTTTCCTGCCCCCGTTAGCTTTTTTGTAAGTCCCAGCATGCTTCAGGTTAAAGCCTGTGCAAGTCACAGGTAGACACTGGGGGGTCAGATCTCTGAACAATGTTGCAGTTGGCACTCACCTTTTTCATTTCTCACTCCCTTCTCTCTCCGTTTTGATTTCTGAAAGAGATCAAAAACAGTTTCAGAAGCCGTTTTCCTCATAGGCATGGAAAGAGGGGACATGAAGAGGCTTCAAAATCCTGGGTCTCAGAGAGAAATTATGACTGGGGCTAGGAAGGACTTCTCTGCAGCCCCAAGGTAAAGCCTTTTTTTAAAAATGTGTCTTAATTTCTAATGTTGGACATAATCCCACCCTTACCTAGAAGTGTCCTCACTGAAATGAAGGGGCATGTGAGTAACACGCTCATTTTCGCCAGTCTTTTAATGACCAGAAAATAATTTCCATTTTGAAATCTAAGTAGGTTTAGAAGGTGAATGAAAGGTATTCAGTTCCAACAATGCTAACATTTAGATGAGTTAGCTATATGGTGATGCCAAATAATACCACGTGTGTATTGTTGCATAGACAGGCTAATGCAGGAAATCTCCAGGCAGCTAGATTTCCAAAGTCCCCGAATGGACTTACTGCTGATGCTCTTAGGTTGATGGATGGTTTGTTAGTACTACTGTCCCACTCAGAGACTCGTGGCTTGCTCTCCTGGGCATCCATGGAAAACACAGGCCCCATTCAACAATACTGGACTATAGTCTTCCTGAACACTGCCTGTAACTTCTCTTTTGTTATGTGCATATTTAAAAACAACCATTTGCATGGCAGTTATCCTTGAACAAAACTTAAACTTTTTTGGTAGAAAGATTGATGTTTCTTTTTTGAGATAGGGGGTCTCAACTATGTAGCCCAGGTTGGTCTCAAACTCAATCCTGCTTCCACCTTCTAAGTGCTAGGATTATAGCACTTTATCACCACACCTGGCTCCAGTTTTGTTTAATTTTCAAAACTGTTTTTCTAGCTGTGGATGATTTGAATTCCTACATAGTTTTTATAGAGCCAGCCTTTTAATTTTTACTAATGAGTCTCCCAGGCATTTGATTTAGATTGCTTTGATCCATTGATCAATTTGGAGAAAATAGTATCAGCAATATTTTGTCTTCTGACCCTTGAACACGGTATATGCTTCCTTTTATTTAGGTCTACTTCCATTTCTGTCCATAGTAATGCGTGGTTTTAGTCTTGCATTTGCTTTGTTAAATGCATTGCCAACACCTTATTTTTATGTGACAACCCTAGAAACAGTATTTAAACATTTTCTCAGTATTTGTTTATTGATACTATATAGAATACAATTGATGTTAATTTTTTTTTCGAGATAGGGTTTCTCGGTATTGTTTTGGAGGCTGTCCTGGAACTCGCTCTGTAGACCAGGCTGGCCTCGAACTCACAGAGATCCACCTGCCTCTGCCTCCCAAGTACTGGGATTAAAGGCATGTGCCACCAATGCCTGGCTGATATTGATTTTTCTGAGCTTGCATTTTAAGACTCTGCTACTGTCACTTATTAGTCTTTTAATAGTTTTAAAGGCTTTTCTACAAACACAATCATATTATCTGCCTCAAAGATGGAGCTTTTTTTGTCCTTCCTTTCCAATCTGCAAGTCTTTCTCTTTTGAGTCATTTCACACTGGCTAGGACTTCCAGGAAAATGCTGAGCAAAAGCGATAACCCATAGGCATCCTTGCCAGTGTTAGGGGAAGAGCAATTTGTCCTTTATCACTATGATGCTATTAGAATGATTTGATAGATGTCCTTTGTGGGTTTCAGATATTCCCCTTGAATTCCTAGTTCATTAACGCTTTTCTTTCTCTTTTAAAATTATGAATGGGTGTTAATTTCATCAAAACTTTTTTCGTGTGCATTCCATGATGACATGAGGTTTCTTTTAGTCTGTTTGCTAATGACTGTCACTCCTTGGGTTTTGAATGCTTAACTCTCCTACCTTCCTAGAATATGTTCTGCTTTATCATAGTGCAGCATACTTGTAATATATTACTAGATTTTAATTTCTTATTTTGTTAAGATTTTTGGCATCTGTGTTCATATGGGATCCTTTGGGGATTACTTTCTTGATATGTTTTCTTAGTTTGGGGCATCAGGAATCTCACTGCCTTTAGGGTTGACTATTGACTAAAGGCCATTGACTTGGCCATTGACTACAGGTAGTAAGTCACAATGTCACCTTTTCTCTGCTCTTAGTTACAGTTCTATTTTTCTGTTGCTGATGCCCAACATCTCGAAGCAATAGTTTTATTCTCATTTTGTCTGGTTTCCAGTTTTCTGTGGCAGGAAGCAATTCATGAGGCAGTTGGGAGGAAGTAGAAGTCATTTTTTTTCCATACAATTTCAAGAGTGCTCAGACAGGTTGCTCTTTTTTTTTTTTTTACGAGACAAGGTTTCTCTGTATTGTTTTGGAGGCTGTCAGACCAGCTGGGCCTCGAACTCACAGAGATCCGCCTGCCTCTGCCACCTGAGTGCTGGAATTAAAGGCGTGCACCACCACCGCCTGGCAACAGGTTGCTCTTATATCCTCATATTTTATAATCCTCCCTTGCAGAGATTCGGTTTGGACTACAGTGTTGAGTCTGATCTTTGCAGTTGGAGACAGCTACTCCTTTGGATTTTTGAGAGCAGGCTCTCTATCCTCCTGAGGCTATTCTCAGGTTAAACATTCTTGGTTTATTTGATGCTGATGCCCTGGTTTCAATGTGGTCTAGCCCTTAAGGTTCATGTGTTTGGAGGCACAATGTGGAGGCAAGGAAGAGTAGAGTAACCTTGTTGGAGGAAATTTGGTCATGGGAACCACACTTGGGAGAATTAGCATGTACCCCTTGGGAGTGAGTTGGGTCTCAGGGACTGGCACTGTAAAAGCAGGCTGTTATGAAGCCTTGGTCTTTCTTCTGTACACATGTGTATCCACACACACTGCTCTTACTTGTATTCTCACCACTCTATGCAATTTGCATCTCATAATGCAGCATGAAATGGCTGCCTGACCTTGGGCTTTCAGTCCCAAACCATAAACCATGATAAACATTTCCTTTATGGCAGCCAGCCTTTGATGTCTTGTTACAGCAATGTAAAGGAACTGAGAGGCATTTGAGCTGTTTCCTATTCTAGTTTCCAGATACTTTCTACTTTCTAAATCTAACCAGATTTTAGTATTGCCCAAAGTCCTCTAAAAATCATGGTGGAATATCCCAGATAAATACAGAACAGAAAATAATCAAATGATCTTTTCATACCCATGGCAAAGTCAGCACAATTACAAGAAAGCCCCTGTTTTAAAAATGAAAACTGACAATCAGGACACGTGACCCACACTTTTGGAATGGATGATAACTTCAGTATTTTTGAGGTGGAAACGGGATGAGATCACTGACTTTCAGTTTTTAAACTCTGTGGAGTTTCCTGTTTAAATGTTGATGAAGAACTAGTCGCTTTGGAAAAGATACTTGTCCTTTAAGAAATGATAGCTAACTAGGTATGGTAGTACACACCTTTAGTCTCAGCACTCAAGAGGCAGAGGCAAGCAGAGTTCTGTGAGCTTAAGTCCAGCCTGGTCTCTATAGCAAGTCCTGTGCTAGCTAGAACTACAAAATCAGAACTTGTCTTAAAAAACATTGTGACGGGCCTGGAGAGATGGCTCAGCAGTTAAGAGCACTGATGGCTCTTTCAGAGGACCCTGGTTCAATTCCCAGCACCCACATGGTAGCTAACAACTGTCTATATAACTCTAAAATCTGATACTTTCACACAGACATACATGTAGGCAAAACACCAGTGCATATAAAATAAGAATAAATAAATTATTTTAAAAAAATGTTGTGACTATGAGAACCAAGACATTTTTCATTTTGCTGTAGTGAGGCAAACTGTAAAAACTTGGCTTCGAGAGCACTATTACATACATTTTTTTAGTCTAACAAATTCTCAAATGAACAAACTGGTAGTGTAATTGCAGATTGGATGAAAACAATAATTCAGAATTACACATTCTCCTGCATTTTCTTTCTTATTAATTTGGGGGAGGGACAGGATAGAAAACTCCTTATATCGACTTGATATTTCCTTCTTAATCATTTAAATTTCCTAAATAGGATAAATACACATAACCAAGACACAATGAACAAACACTGGACAGGACTTTTAATGCCAGGTTAGTTACTTTGAAGGCTGTTTCCTCTGAAAAGTGGATTAATGTTATGTTCCTACTAGTTGTCATGACTGCTCCAGTATCTGTCTGTTGGCAGAATTCAGTCCTTTGATGTTGTAGAACTGAACTCCTCAGTTCTTAGTTGGGTGGCTGTCAAGTGAGGACCATTTCTAGCTTCTAGACATGATCCAAATTCCTTGGTTCATGGCCTTCTTTTCCCAAGTACAAAGTCAACAATGATGGACTGAGATTTCCCCAAATCTCATATGCCTCCTCCTCCTGGCACAGCTCTCTAACCTACCTGGGTAAATTTCTGCAGCTTATGTAAATTTTTGCTATGTGGATAACATATGGAGGGTTTGGAGTGGTGTCTCAGTGGTTAAGATCACTCAATGCTTTTACAAAGGTCCCTGATTCAGTTCCCAGCACCCACATGAGACCTGGCACCCTCTCTGGCCTCTAAGGGAATAAAACATGCAGTACACATACATACATGTGTGCAAAATACTCATACATATAAAATAAAAATAAATCTTTCTTAAAGATAATATAAATTTTAGGTATAGGAAGTAGATGGCAAGTAAAGGGGCAAGTATTTTACTTATCACAGCCAAGACCAGAAAAATCCACAAAGCAAGGTTACTACAGAACTCAAACTCATGAACATCTTTTATCCACATGGTTTGATTTTCCATGGAATGTCTCCCTCCTAAAGATGTCAAGAAGTCTTTCTTTGACCAAACTCATTGCCATGTATCACATTATTTTAGTGCTATACTCTGATGCTTTAGCCGTTTGAAGACATAGTTTAATGTCACCATCTTACACACGTTTAGCTTCTCTAAATCCCCTTCCAATACCTTTCTTGCATGTGCATGTATATCATCCTTGACTTCCTCATCTAGTCTCAAATATTTCTGGTTGCCTTATGGGGAAAGAAACATGTTCTCTTTTACCCCATCTCTCCTTTGTTTTGGTTGCAAGCTGATCATTCTACTGTGAAAACAAACTTAGGAAACAGCTCATTCCTTTCTAGAAATTGCTTCTACTTCTAAGGCTAATTTTTTCTCTAAGCGCTATTGGAGATTGAGCCCTCCAGGAAAAGCTGCTCATTAAACAAACACCTAAATAAAATCAGAAGTGGCACATATCCCAACAGACATCACAGTGCAAGAGTTGGGACAAAACAAGGTAACACGATTCCTGCAAAAGACCATGATTCCTTAACTTGTGAACATGAAGATATTGAAATGGCTGGGCAAATAATTTTAAAGTCTACTTATGAAAACGATTCTTGACCTCCAAGAGGGCATGAGCAAATAAACAAATGATGTAAGGAAATCAACTCAGGATGCAAATAAGAAAGTCAACAATATATATAAGGAATTCAATAAGGAAACAGATTTTTGAAAAAAAATGGACAGTAATGCTGGAAATGAAAATCCAATGAAACAAATTTTAAAAAATTCTGTGGAAAACCACTATACTAAACAAAGTAGATAAGGCATGAGGAGGGACATTAGGGGCTAGGGATACGGCTTAGTGTGTAAAAGTGTTTGCTGTGTAAGCACCAGGACCGGAGTTCAAATTCCTAGAAGCCCTGTAAAACACAGATGTGCAGCAGGATCATCTGCAGCCCTGATGTGTCTGTGGGGTAACAGGAGCTGGAGACGGGAGAATCCCGAGCTCGTGGGCCAGCTAGCCTAGAGAACATGGTGGAAAAACAATGCAGAGGTGCTATCTTGCCAGGCGTGGTGGCATACACCCTCAATCCCAGCACTTGGGAGGCAGAGGCAGGCGGATCTCTGTGAGTTTGAGGTCATCCTGGTCTACATACTGAGTTCAATTGCCAATAGCAAAAAATAGACAAAAACCAAACCAAACAACAACAAACCTAGGAATAAATCTAACTCAGAGGGTGAAAGACCCCTAAAATGAGAACTTTAAAGCATTGAAGAAAAAAGAAGAAATGAAAGGAGTTGTTAGAGGAAGGAAAGATTTTCCATGCTTACAGGTGGGCAGAAAAAATGTGAAAAATTGGTGTATTACCAAAAGCACTATACAGATCAAATTCAATCATACTGAAATTCCAATGATATTCTACACATAAGTAGAAAAAATCATAACATTTATATAGAAATAAAAAAACCCTAAATAGCTGAACCATATTACAATAAGTGATCTCAAATTACATGGTCTAGTCACAGTTACATAAACAACATGATACAGGCACAAAACTAGGCATGTAGACCAATGGGATAAAATAGAGGACTCAGAAATTAGCCCTATAGATGTAGCTATAGGCACCTATATTTTTTAAAAGGTGCCAAAAACACATATTAGAGAAAAAGAAAGAATAAATGGTGCCCAGAGAACTAGATAGCCACATATAGATGACTACAACTAGATCTCCATCTTTCACCTTGTAAAGAAAGATCTTTTTAAAATTGGTGAAGGCCTTCTTTGATGCTTAGGAGGAAAACATGGGATAAACAGCCAAGATAAGACCCGGACAAGGACTTTTTAAATGGACTCCTTTAACTCAGGAAGTAATAGTATGACTTAACAAATGGAATTGCCCAGGACTGAAAGACCGCTGGACAGTGTAGCAAACAATAGAGTAGATAACCTACTTAATGGGAGAAAGTCTCTCCACCTGTAGCTGTAACAGAAAATTCGTATCTAAGATTCACAAAGAACCCCAGTTTTTCTTCAGAAGCACAGGATTCATAGCCACATGAACCAAGCGGGGAACCCTGACTTACCCTGAACATTGCAAACACATCCACTGAAAAAGAAAGGTGACAGAACAAAAACAAAAAAAAAAAAAAGGAAAGAAATAAAGGGAAGGAAGTGTAAACCAATAAGCCACTTCAGATGTGTAAGTCCCAGTGTAGAATAAAGAGCAAACAAACAAACAAGGCAACACATCTCATGCACAAATCGCTGACCCCCTCCTCTCTCTCATAAGGTATTCTTCTAATGAAAACAGCCTGGAAGACCAGGCAAACGGTTCCAATGATTATAGCTATGTTTAGACAACTCATAGAGGATGTGAATAAACTCCAGGAGGAACAAGCCCCCGAAGCTGAATGAAATAAAGAAATCCATCAGAGAGGCCTAGGAGCACCCAAAACAACACAGGCGATTGCTGTTGCTCACAGGTGCTCGTCAAAATTGGATGGCTAAGACTCTGTTGTTCAAGACACCTCATACTTGAGCTGCAAGACACAGAGAAATCAATCTTGAACTGCCCAGGGAACTTGTTCCCCAACAGATGGCTTTCATAGCTCTAGAAGGTGCTCCAAAGGCTATTGGAGGAGAAGAGCCATAGATAGTCTCCTCTAGTGCTGCTCCCTGCATGCTACAACACCCACTTTCCAGACCAAATATGACCAGTAGTGCAAATTGTGGCAAGACTCTTACAGAGATTACTGACTGATCCCTTTATTGGATCAGTCTGCTCTACAGGAGGAAATTCATGCCTAGAACTGTAAACAGGATGAAGGAGGTCACAGGTCCCAGAGGAGAATCTATTGATGATGTTCTTTTAAATGGTTATGTTATCAAACTGCCTTCTACATTCTTGTATTTATATCCACAGATTTATGTTGCTACAAACTTTGGCCAGAGAAGTTTCTTGTTGCAAAAAACAGAGACACATTATTGTCCAAAGCGCTGAAAATAAGTGACTTGGAAGATTTGCAATCAGTGAGACATCTATATCTGACCCCCAACCCCCAAGACTCAGGGCACTCCACAGAAGACAGGCAGAAAGAATGTCAGAGCCAGCAGATAGGAGCAGGGCAGTGAGACACAATTTTCTGAACACTTAGGAACTCACAGCAGCTGTGCAAGATCAAGCCAGTTGAAATTTTCATCATTTGGGGCTTCCAAGGCTCCATCCCTACTTGAGAAGCCATTTTTTGATAGCTGCTTGGAGAAGAGTTACTCTTTTTAGGAATATGGCAGTGGAAGGCTGTCCGTGCTGTGCACCAGTGGATGGCCCCATGTGTATGTGCATATGGGCAGCTCTAAATAGACTCAGGGTGTTACGTTAGCAAATCAATTATAAAAGGACAGACTTTTGGGGAGGTGATGGGAGGAGTTCTAGGAGAATTGAAGTTAGGGCATGAGGAGTAAATATGATCAAGAAACATTGTCTTTTGTACATTTAGGAGGTTTAAAAAATAAATAGAAATTTAAAACTATAACACAGAAGAAACCCCCAAAGCACCCAATTAATAAATGACTTGAAGAGTCACTTGTCAAAATAATGGCCAATAAATAAACACACACATGCACACACTATGTAATATCATCAGTCAGTAAGGAAATAGAAGTCAAAACTACTGTGAGATTCCACTGCAACTCAGCCAAGAATGGTTGTCATCTGGAAAACAAATGACAGAAAGAATGGAAGGAAAAAGAAGGTTTATATACCGTTTGTGAAAATGCAAATTAGGTTGGCCACTAGTAAGGAGGTTCCTCAACTAGAACTACCATGTGACACATCTATACTATTCCCATGTATATAACCAAAGTGAATTCTAAGTCTGCACACCACCAAGATATTGACACATAAGCCATGTTTATTATGTCACTATTCACAGTAGCCCAAACACAGAACCATCAACAGATAAAAGAGTAAAAAGAGCATGAGTTATATACATACATATATATGTACTATAAAGTTTTGTTGAATCATTGTTAAAAACAAAATTAAGACATTTTAAAGGAAATGAATAGAGGTCATCATGTTAAGCAAAATAAGCCAGACTCAGCAAGACAACTATAATGTGTTTTCTCTCATGCAGGATCTACCAATCATCTATCTCCTAAAAGGAGGAGAAATGTCAGGAAGAAAGAGGGTCATTGGTGTGAGTGATGGGGGGACAAGAAATGACAATGGGGAGTTGAATGTATGCAAAGTACGGGATATGCATGTGTGTCACTCCATTGTTTCATATTCTCATTTTAAAACACTTTCTTTTTCTCAGTATTGGAGACTGAACTTGGCTTGTATATGCTATGTAACATTGTACCACCAGGATACCCCCTCATCTTGTATGCTTGTAATGAACAAACTTTAACTGATTATCAAACACAGGACAAACACACTTGTCACCTTCCTAAGAGATGCCAGGCTGTTCCTGCTTCCTACAGCATAGTTTTACCAGGTAGCACAGCACAAATCCAGGGACAAGCAGAACAATGATGATGACACCTGCAATCCAGGATTTCCTTTTCTCTTGAATAGATCGGGACTCTGGAAGAACTAGAAACGATGGCAAGTTTTCTGTCAGTAAGAAACTCGTTTATGCAAGGCTTAAATTTCCTTCCTACCTTCCTTCCTTCCTTTGTAACTTCCTTCCTTCCTTCTTTCCTTCCTCCATCCTTTTCTCCCTCCTTCCCTCTCTCCCTTATTTTCCATCATTTCCATGGATTCCAGGGCCATAGGAAACTGAAATTAACAACAGGAGGCTTGGAAAACCCCTTGGTAATGGTCCCCTTATCCACCATCATCTTGAAGTCAGTCTCTAGATCACCTCTCATTTGGACAAACAGAACAACCTCCTCATGGGTAGCTACTTCAAAGTATTTGATTATTATTTCCATTGAGGTAGCCCAGGGATTCCTCAGTCTGCCTTTTTGCGTGCCACCTCATTTAGAAAACATTTGGTAGGTATTTCCTCATTCTCTGGAGAATCAGATCCCTGAGGCCAGGAATTACTTGTTATGATAGGAATGCTTAACTACAGTCTGGGAAGTTGATGGAAAGTTGAGTGGCTCACTTTATACACACTTGAAGGAACAGTTCTTTTAATTAATCCTAAATTGTAGTAAAATTAGGGTTAAAATCTCCCATAGTATAGCTACAATTTGAGGTACACATTCTGTTCCTAGAATAATAAAGAATTGTTGGCATCATGGACCATATTTAATACCTTTTGAGTATGTCCCTGTCTGTCTCACTTCAACCTGTTTGGAATTTCACATAAAGGAGGGCTATGCTTTTTGCTGGAAGACTTGCACCTTTTGATACGCAAAGACTCAGTGGCTAACCTATTTCTGATCAAGGCATAGATTAGGGTCACAGAGGTGCCAGTCCTTTTGCTGAGGCAGCTAGAGCTGAAGCATTTCTGAAGGTGGCACCTGGGGAAGTTCTATATAGTTGACAAATAGAGGTGAGCCACAATGAGTGTATGATGTTGATCAGTCCCTGCTCATTTGTAGACAAGGGTGGTGGGGGGAGGCAAGGGTGGGGGGTAGCTTCAGGCACGGCTTAGGGTGTCTTCTAGATGGCTAGGAAATATTGCAGTAGAAGCAACAAGGACAGCTGGGTGACCCGATCTTTTACTAAAAGGAAATCAGTACCAGGAGAGTGAGTGGGTTTAGTTGTAAAACTGGCTGTGGGCTCTATACTAGCCTCAGGGATGTTTATAGAAGTATGTCTATAGGCCAAGTTATTGAGAGAGGCCCCAGGTGTAAGGAGGAGGAAAAGCCAGGGGATGCAGAAAGAGATGGATGCCACCAGAAGGAACAGATCACAGGGAACGTGCTGGAGAAGGGACCAGAGAAACAGAAGTCAGATGGCTGGGGGATGGGATCAGTCTCAGAACAAACAGTGATGGGGGTCAAGTGGGTACAGGGTGCCTTCATTCTAGGAGGAATGGTTGCTTCCCAAAGAGGGAGTGTGGGTGTAGATTAGTTCTCAATGGGACTAAGCTGGCACTGAGTTCCAATCTTTTTTTCCATCAGCATGGAAGCCAAAACACATCAAGAATATGCTATGAGCACGCCTTCACTAAGTCTGTCTCGAACATACTTCCTGCTTCTTATTGGGTACAGCTGGTTCCCTGTGGCCCTCTCGTCAGCTGGACACCTTTGCTACCTCATAGCTTCTCTGTGCAGAAAGTCACTGCAAATTTGAGGGGTTTTCGTCTAGAACTCTGTCCCTTTCCCCACCATATTTATCAAGCCCAACAATCCATTTTAAAGCATGATCACGCCCCAGTGCCTTTAGAAGTCTTACCTGACTTCCCGAGATCTTGCCAGCCCCTGTATGTTCACAGAACTGATCATTACCTTGTTTTAAATTTAGGCAATTGTTTCCATGAACTATAATTTAGACTTGAATTTCATCTTAAAAATTCAGTTTATCATATATATATATATATGTATATCATGGAGTTCTTATTTTCCTGGAATAATCTCAAGAACTACAAGATATATTCAACCTTTGAGATTTCAGCTTTATAATAAACAATGCCTAGAATGATTCCATATGCACAATAAGTACTGTTGGAAGGCAGGTATAAACATAGTACTTATATGTGTATGTCTTTTATTCAGTTGAAGGCTTCTTGCTAGGAGATATCTTCTATTTTCTGACTACAACATCTCATCATCCTCCATCCAAGAATAGCTCCAAAGTCTGGGTCAGTTTCAGGGCTGAAACCATGTTTCTTCAAGTGTAGCCCAGATTCATAAACTCTTGGGCCTTCGATCATACGGATGTAGCAGTAGCCTTCTATTTGGGTCCTTTCTAGTGGCCTGCTGGAAAGTTTCCCAGCAAGCAGTGAACATCGGATGGTTGTATTAAAAGGTTTGCATGTAACTCCTGATGAAATAAATGATTTTGGGAAGCAGCCTTACCTATATTATGAAGTCTGGAGGAAATCTTCATTGACTCAGTTTCCAGAACACACAAGGCTGTCACATTGTACACACCGTCCGGGAATGGAATAGACAGGCTAATGGAAACGCTGAACAGTTCTGTGACATTGTCTTGTGATATCTGCATGTCACCACTGTGCTCATTAGTTGAATTAGTTGAATTAGTTATCGAAATATACATCTTTGTAGGTTTTGGATAACCTTCTTTAGATGAGCAGGTCAAATTTATGCCAGAGATTCTTGTTATATTCTGAACTTCTATTTCAGGTTCACTGAAGTTAGCTGGAAGCAGAATAGAGATGCAAGCAGTCAGTCTGAATTTATTTACAAAAGAATGGCAGATAACTGACAGCAAATTCCCAGATTGGGGTTCACCTGGCAATCTTAAGGTGTGGGTCTCATCCCATATTGAGAGCTACATGATAAGCCTACATTTATTTTTCAGGAAACACATTTAACTCCTTATCTAAGTTAAGAGAGTGCTCGCTGAGAGACAGGCTAGCTGTGGGGACCTGGTCTGACTGTTGGGCCTACATTCCCCCAGAGAAGTATTTCAACTCTCCACCCAGGGAAGGAGCTAAAATTCCACCAGGAACTGGCAGGGTTTATGGTCCTTGCATGCTTTGGGTCTTGAAGAACCTAAGAATAAGAATAAGAAGTGGGGGCCTTTGTGTTTACAAACTCAGAACACTGGTTTTTGATATGATTATCATGGTATCACCATCATGCTTTATTAACAGTAGTTCTCAACCTGGGGATTGCATATCAGACATCCTACATATCAGATACTTACATCATGATTCATAACAGTAGAAAAGTCACAGTTATGAAGCAGCAATAAATAATGTTATGGCTGGGGGTCACCACAACATGAGGAACTGTATTAAAGGGTCACAACTTAAGAAGGTTGAGAACCACTGTGCTGTAAGGATTCATCCATCCATCCATTCATTCAATGCTCTCTCACCTTTATTTTCACTCATGTTTTTAGGTCTGAAGTGCACTGGCACATAGGTCTTGGGCCTGACAAATATGCCATTAGCCAGCCAAATTCCTTGCTGTTCTTCAGATTCTATATACTAATCGACAATTCAATATGGGGATGAGAGATGGCTCATAAAGGCTAGACTCATAATCAAAAAGCTTATGCAATGTATGGTTTCTAAAACAGAAGACATTGGCATGTCATCTTCTTTGAGTTTTATGCTCCCTGAACCTCTTGCTGATGTTTGCTGAGGCTCACCAGATTCTGTCCAGCTTCATCAACAATACCTTTTCAGTCACAGGTTACGTTGCAGTAGTAACACACATTATAACAGACAACCAGCTTTAAAAGCTTGTCTGTGCCCCACCTAAATTTAATACTCCTGTTTCTCCAAAGGTGCCCGCAGTACACTGGGAACACTGACTCAGCACTTGGTTAAATAAAAGCCCAGCAGCCTTGTTTGAATCACATTACACTCAAGGTGGGTAGCACTTCATTCTATGGCTGTTTTTGCCTGTTTGATTATGTGGTTTTTAGAAAAGGTTCATTCTAGGAGGAAAGGCTGCTTCTCAAAAGGCGTTGTTCTACCTTTTCCAAGTTCATTAAGAACTCATCTGAATCTAGCAGTAGCTTGCCTAGGCATCTAACCTGGAAAAACACGACTTAGGTCCACATAGAAGCTGACACTTGAGTGTTTACAGCAGGAAGCAGCCCAGGGTCTTTCAGTGATAGAATGGATAAACAGTATAGCATAATTCAGCAATTAAAAAATGCTTCCAAATTTTTGATACCCTCAACTTAGGTGAAACACAAGAGGCATCTTTCTGAATAAATGAAGTCAGTCTTAAAGGTTAAATACACGCTTTTGGCTCTGTGTATACGATAGTCTCAAAATGACAAAACTCATTGATCCCCAAGAAGCACAGAAGGCTTTCAGTTCCCCACTCTCAGACCCCACATTCTCTTCAAATGGACTTCCTAGAAATGGCTGTCTTCTGCCTTCCTGTCCTGTCCTGTCAAATCCCTAGACTCAATGTTTTTCCGCTCATTTATAGTCTCACGTGAGCAGGCTAATGATCTGAATACAACATTGACCACATACCCATCACTGATAGCTCCGTATCTGTCTGCTGGAGGATGACTGATCCTTTGGGTGTTTTTCTTTGTATAAAACAATCATATGTGCCCATGTCCTTGATCTGAACATTGTGAAGTCCTAGAGCCCAGTTGTCTTCGTCAAAGCTTGTGCGGGCCCGGTACTTGACATTCACATTATCAAGTTTCTCTTTGCCCATATAATGCTCATATAGAACCAACTTATTGTGGTCCTGCCAAAATACTACCAGCTCACTCAGGCTTCTATTTTGAGCCTTTGTAAATGGGCATGGCAGGTATGCAGTCCTATTGAAATAAGCTTGGGTCTTCATGGAAACAGCATCTAAAATAGAAAAACTGAGGATTAGGGGAGAGGAAACAAGAAGGAAGAAATTCCGTTCTCCCAACGCAGCACCCAGCCTCCAGCTGGATGTTAAGGTCTAGACCTGGGCATCCGTGCTGGACATCTGGGTTAGACCTTTGCTCTTACTCCACCGTCCACTTGTGCATACGGCAACCTTTGTGCCTTTGTTTTCTCACCCGAATAAGGAGGCGGTCTGAAGTAATGTTCTAGTATTCTCTCTGGCACTGTGGTTCTGTGGATTCTAAACCAGAATATTGACCATCATCACTGTGGTTGTTACAGGCTTCCATAACTGCTGTGCCATCCCCCTAAACCCCTCTTGTCCCATGCCATCCTGTTATTTTTTGGTTTACTATTATAAAAAAAAGTGTAGTGACTTTTGGGAGTCTGTGGTGGTCAGAGCATTTAAGGAGCACGAGTAGAATGTTGGGAGTGAACTGTAGGTGGGAAGGTGAGGAGGTGCTTTGCCATTCTGGAGAAACCCCAGAGAGACTGACTTGCAACTCCCAGGTTTCATTACCTCTGGAAACTGTTACAACTCAAAGGAGCATGCTGGAAAAGTTCAGAGAAAGGACATGCTGGCATAAGCCAACTTGCAGGATATTTTTCTGGACCACAGAGTTACTTGAGACTCAGCAAGGAAAGTAAGTAGAGGGAGCTGAGAGGTGAAAGGTGAGTCGAGTGTGACGTTACTGGTTCACATCAATTGTGGGAGAAGATTGGAGAAGGTTCCGCATAGAGAGCCATTCATCATTCAGGATTGTAGGAAGGGAAAGACAAGAAGGTGAAGGAGATGAGAAGAGTCCTAGCCAAACTGTTGTGGTGCGGGAGAAATAAATTGACCTGATCAGTGGGTCTCCCTTCAAATAGGACACCAATAGACATGTAGCAGGGGTGTCCTGCAGACCACACCATGAGAACCTATGATCAAGAGGCTGCCAATGGTCTCAGGGGATACTCCAGGCATATCTGGGTTGGAGAGAACCCAGTGGCTTCCCACAATAGTGAAAATGGGACCTAAGGACAACTTACTCCATCCAGCCATCTGTTACACCCTTGTTAATCTCTTAAGCGAGAGGCAAGGGTGCCACCTACTGTAAATGTTCATAATGTTGTGAGGGTTGGTGTGGGCAGGACTCAGGAGAGCAGGACACATTCTGGTTTGGGTCTAATTTATTGTGTGATTCTGGGTAGATGATCTAATAGAGAAACCAAGCAGGCAGCTGAAGCATTGGCCAGTTGTAAGTTGGTGTGGCATTACTGTTCAGTCATCAGTCAGTTTTTCTTGAACTGGAAATGAGTTCACCCTGTTTCTTATATCTTCTTGACATACAGGTTTTCTTTTTCCTCTGTGGAATCACACAGCACCTACTTTCCTTCCTTTCTTCCTTCCTTCCTTTTTTTTAAGACAGGATTTCTCTGTGTAGTGTTGTAGACCAGACTGGCCTTGAACACACAGAGATCCACTTGCCTCTGCCTCCAAGGTGCTGGAATTGAAGACCAGGCTCCTACTTTCCTTTCAATTCATTCTCTCTACTAACAGACAAGTGGGACTTCTCTGACCCAGGCCCCTTCTCCAAAAGATAACTGGGACTTCCTCTTCACCCCAGCTACTTCTTTACCTACAAATACAAAGCAGACCAAAGTCATTGGCCTCATCTGGGGGCTGCTCAGAAATTTAGACTCTCTGGTTCCACCCAAGATCTGAACCAGAGTCTGCATTTTACCAAGAACTCCTATTTGGGAAACTGAGGGGATCAAAGATGATGACTGGACACATTCATTTCTACCTTCTCCAAAACCCCTCTATTCCCCATGGGGTGGAAATCACTCTGTAGCTTTTCTGAGTGGAACTGAAAGTATTTCATAGTCTACATGCTTAGGCTCATCACCAGACCCTTGTTTTCTTGACATCACTCTGGACCAGGAAGGAGCATTTTCCTAACTGTGATCATATGGGGAAGATGTGACACAAGGTCTGTTTTTTCCCAGTGGCTTCAGGCCTCCACTGTTATGGTCCCCAGAACTTGGGGCTTCTAAGCAAGTGAACTCCCTGGGATTCCATTGGTGGAAAGCACTGAGAATCTCTCCTTCCTCTAACACTTGGGCAAGGGAAATGGTGTATATTTACTTGTGACCAATTGCTATCATGATGTCAGGAACTAGGCACATAGGAATTCAGCCATACATCTCCCCAACCAGGGAATACATCTAAAATAAAACACCGAGAATTTTTCAGTTTCAGAATGTTACAGGCCTTTTTAAGAAAGATACCATCTGAGTGCCACATGGAGCCAATGATCTGAGAACTCTGAGTCTGTGGCCCCACCAGAATACAAGTCTTCCCTGGCCATTACTCCAAACTTAGGACGTGCCTCATTCTCTTTTCCTCCTGTTACTGTGCTTATTACACTCAAAGTTTTTTCTTATTTTTGTAAACTTCCTTCAAAGCTTTTCTAGGCTTGCTGAAGCCCTGTTCCATTGTACTAGACTCAACTATAGATGAACCTCTTCAATAAATATATCCTTAAATGTTCTTTCCATGAAATCTGGTTCTACCCAAAGGACTCCATGCGGCCCCCAGGCACCGCTAGCGTCATCAACAAGGACCTTGTGTAGCCACTCTCCACTTTAGAGGGATCTAGACTGCCTAACTTATCTAACATTCTGTAGGGAGCCATTAATCATTGGTTGCTATCTCTTCATTCAAGGAGGATTTTTGGCTTTATATTCAAGGCCGTTCTTTCTAACCAATTTTCAACATAACTACCAAGATAATCTAACAGTTTATCCATCAACAATGAGTCTGCCTTGTATCAAAGCTGCTTGACTTCATCAGCCACAAAGACCTTCACCACAGACTAGTTCAGAAGCCTTCCATCTCCCTTGACACGATCCCGAGCAGTGTCACCTGAGGCTCAGTACCTCAGATCATGGTCTCAAACACTCTCATCTCTACCCAGAACCTATGAGTCCTCCAGGTTCCACTCCCACTTTCTCCATATCTGTTCTTCATTTCATGCTTTAATATGAGAGAATTCTTGTATGGTTTTGAGCAATGTGGTAACCAACAGCCACCGTGGCTCTTGAATCCTTGATAAATAATAAATATGACTGAGAAATCGGATTATTTTTATAGTACTGAAGAGAGAAAATTAACTTTTTCATCTCATTTACTTTTAATTCATTCACATTTAATAAGCCACACATGGCTAATGACTATTATACTGAACAGCAAAGAAATAATACATCTTTTTAATTGTTTCTCACCAGTAAGGCCGGTAAATATGCTCCTTTGCCTTAGTAGAAGTCATACTGAAGAACCTACTTTGGGTCTATAGAGATGATTTTATAACTGGGTGGATGGGCACCCTTAGAGGAAACAATTCCATTGAACAGACAGGAAACATTTGAAATTTGTGAAGTTCTACCTCTCTGAATGTGGCCCCCAGTTTTACCACCCTGTCTCAAACTGGCACCCCTGCTCTTGCTTTCCATTTCAGTTAGATTTCCCTAGTGAGCAGAAACAGTTTCTTCCCTCTGCACTTCTCACCCCCATCTCTCCTGAAGATTTCCTGATAAAAGATGTTAGCAGCCCCTTGCTCTTTCTGATCTCACCCTATCTGACCAGTCTACCAAAAGTAGCTCAGTTTTGGCATCCAGCCTTCTTGGAATGAACTTCCTCAGTCTGACTTCCCGGTTCTGGATGGGATTTATCTGGATGCCCATTGATTCAACTGCTAACAGATTGTTATCAACTCAATAACCCAACAGATGCTTATCTGCAGCCCAGAGCCTTCACTGGTGCTCTGGATATCCAAGGGCCTGCTGGATGCTTTCACTTAGACAGCAAGGGATACACTGTTCTTCCGCTTAAATCTTCCTCCCCTATCTCTAAGAGTGGTTCTTCTACTCACCACCATCCCATCCTTTTGATTATCTACAGGAAATGCCCAAGAGGACACACACAGATGTTGCCTAAGAGATTCAGAGGTACTATAGCCAAGGGTAGTGGGTGACTTCAAAACAAAAACAAGGGCTTTCAGAAAAATAATCTTGACTTGCTTGGAGACCTTAGGGACATTATCTTTTATGTTTCCCCCTTACAAGGCAAGGATGGTCCATACAGGAAAGGCAATAAGTGCTTTGATTTCCATGGATAGAAAGGTCAAAACAGAGTTACCTATGCCAACATTCCATGACACCAAACCCAAGCCAGCTTGTTACCTGATCTTGCAAGAGATTCGGAGAATGAGACACCCAAACTTCCCAAACTGACTGATCCATATGACAGTGCGGTTCCCTGGATGCATGTTTACCACACATCCTTACACAAAACAATCTGTTACCCAGTCTGTTATTTTTCTGCCATTCTGTCTCCACCTTACAGGAAAGTACCATCGAAATGACCAACCCCTTTTTTTGGTTTCTGCTTTTTTTCAGCCTTTCTCTATCCATGATACCAGCCTCTTCTGCTCAGCCCTTGGAAGCGCTTATCCTATCTCATAGGCTGGAGTGATGTGCAATGCTAGAATGATCAAATAAAGCCTATTAAGATCTTTTAATTAGTGTGAAGTTGGCCTTTGATGCCACAAACACCTTTGATACTGAGGGAGCCAAATCCCAGGTTATATTTAAAAACCAGAATTAAGATTCCCTTTCTCAGAAAGAAAAAAATAAACCAGTCTCAATGTTTTGTTTGTTTCCAAGGAAGTCTGCTCATGGGGTTTAGGAGACCTGGGGCTTGCTCTTTCTTACCAATTTCCATCTTACTTCTCAACAACCCTCCTCCTGTTTGGCAGTTCATTCATTCTCTCTAGGATTCACTAAAAATATTTTACCAAAAATGAATGACTAATTGTGGTAAGGCACTCACTGCTATATTTGAAATGGCCCTGAGACAGTGACCAGCAAAGTGACTCTTTGGGCACAATAGGTTTGAACTGTTAGCTGATCCCCAGGTACTTGTTTCAGTGACCATTCACCAGTGACAAGAAGTAGGAGCCCAAAGCAAACACATAAATGCTATTTCATCCAACATTCCAGGCCAGAACCTGCAAAAAATCTGGAGGAAGGCAGTGAACTTTTTCACAGAGCATGGAATCAGAGTCTGGGACGGTTTTGTGCACATCTTTAAGTGAAGAAAGACTCTACCACTCCAGGTTTACTGTTGAATCAGAAGTGTTGTTCAGGTGGGATGACAACCCTAGAACCTGGAGAACCTTCAGACAAAAGGAGAGCAACTGCCCAATGTCCAACTGGACCAGGTAGGCACACGTACCTGTGGTTATGGCTACTTTAAGGTCAGGCTGGAAGGTCGCTAGAGGAAGAGCTCGGAAGGTTGCTTCACATGCCTGGTAATCTGAGTTTACTGCCCAGAACACACAACACCACAAGGTCATCCTTTGTCTGCTACACTCATACCAATTAGCTAGGGATGACCCTAAAAACATCTAATTTCTAGGCAAAGTGAAGATGTGAAAGATGTGTGGAGGGGCAGATCTGTGTTGCCCCATGTTTTACCTGTCTTCATAAATTACCCAGCCTTGCAATTTTCCCCTGTGGGTTATTAGTGCCAGTTTCATCTCTTTTCTCTCTTTGCATCTGCCTGTGATAGTTTTCTACTCCATAGCTCGGAAGCAGAGGTGTGTCCTGAGAGGAGAGACAAAGTAATCTCAAATAGATTTTTCTTCTATGTTTAAAAATGGGTGGTTTTTAATTTAATGACGCATTCTAAGTCCATTAGTGCTTCTCATATGGGCCATCCATTGGGGGGTAGATACCAATGTCCCCGCCCTAAGAATAGTGACCCTCACTCAGTAGCCATCAACTGCCATTAGCTCTTCAGCTACAGGTGGCTATGAGACCCTCCTTGCTGGAACTTTTAATTCTCTTGATCTTGTGGTTGTCTTGTGCAGATAACCACGGCCTCTGTGAATTCACATGTGTAACAGCCATGTCATGCCCAGAGACCAGCGGTTCACAGCCCTCCCCTCATCCTCTGACTCTTACATTCTTCCTACCCCTCCTCTCTCTGGTGATGCTCAATGCGACTTGGGGATTAGGGTTGTAGATACAGCTGTCCCATGTATACATAGTCAAGGTTGAGAGGGAGATTGGAGATATTTTAGGGGGAACTAAGGGGTTGGAGGGAAGGAGTGGATGGACATGACCAGGACACATTGTATACATGTTTATAATTTTCAGAAAAACAAACTAAAAAAGTATACTTATAAATGATTAAGACAGTAAAAAATGAAAGGCAGAAAAATGGATGGTGACAGTTTTATCATTACTTTTAGTGAAGAGTGAAGTACTGGCAAGTTCATTTTCTGGTGGTTGATGCGTTTTCCTACCCTCTTTAAATCTATTCTTCCCCAGCATATATCTTTTTCACATACATTCCCAATCAGTTCTCATTCAACAGGTGTCTTTTTCTCTTATGGTTTCAATATCATCACCTCCCTTTCAGGAGCTAGGAGTTTCCACACAGTTTCAAAGCAGGTCAAAAATGAAGTAACACCTGCCCTTGGTTTTGACATGTTTCTCAACTTTACATGCTCACTTTCAAAGGGTAGAGCCAGAAAGTCTGGGGCAGGGAACGTGTCTCAGTTAAGCTGTCATTGAATATTTATTTCCAGGGCATTTCTCTTCCAGGTCACAAAAGCTAGGCTTGTCACTGCAACATGAAGGGCTAAGACCTAAGCCTTAAGGACATCTGAGGTGTGGTTTAAGATAAGAGGAAGACGTGAAGGAGGCAACTTGTCATCAAGAAAGAATGAAGCTGAAGCAATATATCATCCATCAAAGCTATTTGAGTCACAAAAAACCAAACTAAACTAAAACCACCACCACCAAAACAAAACAAAACAAAAAACCAACAAACCAGAGCCTGCTACATGTAGTTGCCTTGGAAGCAGGAGTCAGGAGAAACAGCCTGAATCACACATCAGTGATGTCCTGCACTATTGGGTATGAATCTGGGCTCTTCCATTATTTCAATTTCTCTGTACTTTAGGGACCTTGTCATAAAATGGGGAATAGTGACAGGATCTAATGCAACAACTTATTGGTATTTTTAAATGAATTGCTATTTATAAAGTGCTCAGAACTGTACCAGAACATACACACACACACACACACACACACACACTCATACACATGCACATACAGACACAAATGTGTATGCATACACATATGTACACCACATACAGACACACACAGACATTAGCACTCGCTCCCCCCCCCACATGCATACACATGCACACCCTTTCTTTGTCTCTCTACCCATGATATTTGTGTGGGTAAACATTGCCTTCCACCTCTCCAGATGAGAATCCAGGTCATTGGCCCTGGCAAGTGAAAGCTGCTGTTCTCACCTACATTGCTGACAGATAGGTGAACACCTGTAGACTTCATACTGGTGGCCTCAGCAAGCTATGGTGCTAAGCAGAAACCACAAATCCCAAAAGGCCTGTCTCTACTTGCTGAGGTCTGAGGAACTATCTCTTCACAATGCCCAGCTCCTCCTCACCCAGCCAGGGTTGGGGACAGTGGCCAAGGGCCTGTTGTGTGACAATTATGGAGGAGGTGGTTTTGTGGTTGAGTTGGTTAGTCAGAGGCCAGGTGGTCAGGGGTAGCCTGCAGATGCTTCAGGCACACGGCAAGCTCAGCTGCCCTGTCTGCCTGTCAGTAAGACTGAGATGGCCTCCCTGACAGCTGAGGTGGAGAAAATGAGTAACAGGAAAGGGTGGGTCAACAGTAACAGAGCAGCACTGCATTGCAGGATGCATGGGAGGGTCTCCAGCCAGCTGCCTAGAGATGCATTCCAGAGAAGGGCAGTGGGCAGGGAAGGGAGTTCTGGGAGGCCTTAGAAATCTAAACTTTGGGGGCACTATTAAGAAAAAGATCACACAATTCAAATGCAGAATGTCACCCGGCAGGAGGAGACTGTGATGGGGTGGGGTTGTCATGGTTCGTTGGGAGGGGATAAACTTAATTAACTGCGTTATCTTATCCATGTCTGACCAAGTCACAAGATGTGCAAGGTAGTGCTAGGGCCCTCCTGGGGTCTTTATAGGGCTAGAAAGAGGGGATCTGTGCAAGGAGGAACCCTGAGGCAGCAGCTTCCTTGGCTTCATGGTGCACTGGCTGGCATGATTAGCTGGAGGTCCAGGGTCACAGACAGTGACTAGTATGAAGTAGGGTACAGGCTCAGGAAGAAGGGTGTGGGCAGGGAGCAGTGCTTTCTAAAGCCAATCAGCTGTTTCCCAAGGGATTGGGAATACTGGAAATGGGGGCAGAAAGGCCAGCGTGTGTTCTGTGGAGCCAAGTCAGAGGCTTCACGACAATGACCTTCCATAGCCCTCCAAGAGCCCTGGAGGGGACACTCCATTTTGCTGTGTGTCCAGACCCTGGGGGTTTCATGGAAGAGCAGGAAGTGTCCAGACTACAGACAGCTGGTCTCAGTCCTGACCCTTCCTTGGTCTCCAGGAAAGTTATTTGCCACAGAGTCTTAGGCAACTGGAGTCAATCCAAATCAAGCCCCACCGACACACCGGCCTGGGCTTGCAGTGGTTGCACTCACTGGGAGACAACAGAAGGACAAGAGCGCCTCACACAGGGAGACAGTGCTTACCTGAGAGCGCGAACGTCATCACGAAGAGGACTCCCAATGTCATGGTGCTAGTTTAAAAAGACAAGATAAAACTTAGTTAGGGAGTCACACATGGCTTTGCAACACCTAGCCCCCTCTTCCTCTCCTTTTCTCGATGCTTCTCTATTTACCCACTCACCATAGACCCAAATGATTCTGGGGCTTAACAGGGAACACAGGATAAGGACCAACATTAGAAAATGGTAGGAAAACAAATCAATTACAGCAGTTTGGAGCAGATCCCAAGACAAGACCAATGCCAAATGCCTTGGATTTAGCTAAATGCCACAGAAATATGCCACCTTGCACTGGGTGGCATACTAGTTTGGCCTGCAGCTTCTTAAGAGCCAATGTCAAAAGGAAACCTGCCAGGTGGGTTAATACCTACCTTTGCACATAACAGGAAACTGGTGCTTAGGGAAGACACACATTATTTACTCGATAGCAGGAATTTCTCCCTTGGAGGATGGATTGTCTAAAGTCTTTCTCCATCCTTCCGTGCATGTATCCTTCCTTCTGCTCTTATAGCACTTAGCACAGAGAATGAGCCAAAATGTGTTGTGGTGTGTGTGTGTGTGTGTGTGTGTGCGCGCGCGCGTGCGTGCGTGCGCACATGTGCACTCGTGCATATGTTTTAATCCTTCTAGACTGTAATTTTTTAGTTAAGAACTTTTAGAGATTATACCTGCACATAGCACAAAAATTTAAAAAGTAAAGGTGATTCTTGGACACAGCAGCACGTGCATTTAATCCCAGCACTTGGGAGGGAGAGGTAGACATCCACCTATTTAAGTGAGTTTTAGGCCAAAAGGAGTCGGTCTATATAGTGAGACCGTGGCATGTTTTGTTTTTGTTTTGATTTTTTTTGTAAAGGCGATGTATTTAGTTAATTCTCTTGTTGTTGCAACAAACTATCTGACAGAAAGTTCACAATTTTGGGGGTACAGTCCATCATAGCAGGGAAGGCGTGAGGGTTGGACCCTCAGGCAGGAAGCAGAGAGAGAGACTGGTATTCACCCCGTCCTTTCCTTTCTAGTCAGCCTGAGACCCTAGCCCACAGAATGGCGCAGCCTACATTTAAGGTGGGTTGCACTACTTTAATTAACCCAGTCCAGAAATTCACTTACAGACACACTCAGATGTGTCTCGTAGGTGACCCTAGATCCTGTCAAGTCGGCATCCATTATTAACTATCACAGCGGCCAACAGTAGAAAGCGAGTCTCTCGCTCAGCTCTGGTCCTACCGTTATAACCTGTTGCCAGTTTCTTACCTTCACTTAGAGTTATTTTAGACACACACAAAACAAAAATAATAACACAGATCCGAGTGTATTCTTATGCCATTTTAAAACACAAATAGTAGTATTCAGTACATAGTTTTGCACATGCACTACCAGATTGGGGGATTCTTTTATAGCTGTATAAATTAGCACCTTCATATAAATAGTTGCATATTAATCTACTGTAGTCTACTTGATACAAATATCTATTTGACAGATATTTAAGTTGTTTCCAATCTTTTGTTGTAATGAAAACCCAAACTTTCTCACACCTGCTGGTTGTTTCCCAGAAGTGGAATTGCTTGACCAAGGGTTAAAGGGTAAAGCAATTTTAGCTTTCACAGACTTGGACTTACACCTTCCCCTATTATATATTATAAAACTTCCATCAACAGCCCACTGCTTATTTTCGCATCTTTTTGTGTTATGTTTTCTAATTTATGATCTGTACCATTTAAAGGTTAAAATGACACGTCATTATAAATTTTTGGCAGTGCCTGGAATTGAACCCAGGGCCTTAAGCATACAAGGCAAGTGTTCTATTAAGTGAACTCCTTTGGACTCTCATTGTAATAAAAAATTACATTTAGGGTAAGGCAGTGGTGGCACATGCCTTTAATCCCAGCACTTGGGAAGCAGAGGCAGGCGGATCTGTGAGTTCGAGACCGACCTGGTCTATAAGAACTAGTTCCAGGACAGCCTCCAAAGCCACAGAGAAACTGTCTTGAAAAACAAAAACAAACAAATAAAATTACATTTAGTTGTGGTAAAAATATATACAAAATTTACTAGATTTATCATTTTCAAACGTGAAGTGCAATTTTCAACACCATTATCTCCTGAAGTCTTTTCATTTTGCAAGATGGAAACTCTGGGTTCAGTAAGCAGTGATTGTCCCTTCTTCCAGTTTTCCTTCTGTCTCCATGGATCTGACTTCTTTAGATGTGAGTGGAGCCTTACAGTATTTAGCTTTCTGTGGTTGGTTTGTTTCACTTAGCAGGGTGCAGCAGGGGCCCCGCCATCAGGGCCCATCTGTACCGTAGCACCTGCCTGAATTTCCAGACTTGTAAAGATGCTCACACTGCACCTAGCGTGTCTGCTCATCTGCAGGTGGCTGCTTGAATCACGTTCACCTTCTGAGTACAGTGAAATGCTGCTGTGGATGTGAACATACAAATTTCTCCCCAGATTTCTGCTTTCGCTTCTTTAGATGCAAACTGAGAAGTGGAAGGGTAGGTCATATGGAAATTCTATTTTAAACTCTCTGAGGAACTACTGTACAACAGTAGTAGTTCACGTTCCCATCAAAGGCACAGAGTGGCTGGCTTCTCCACATCCTTGCCAATGCTTTTCTGAGTTGTTTTTCAAAGTCTAAGCCATCCTTACAGCTGTGAGGCGGCTTCCACTGTCATTTCAAAATGAACTTCTCTCATGATCTGAGTACCCTGTCAAATGATTAAGACGTTCGTATCTCTTCTTCCATGGACTCGTCACACATTATTCTTGTTGTTGTTGCTATTTGCTCTGTTTTGAGTCTGGCTTTCTCATGCTGAACTGTAGGAGTTTTTGTTTTACATATAGAAAACTAGCAGTTTGTGATACTGTTACAAGTAAGTTCAGTTGCTAAAATAGTAGATGTTTGATGTACAAACCAAATGTCTAGTGCCCAGTCGCTTTTGCCTTCTCTTCTCTCTTGTAATGGACTTTAGTTTTTCTTATCAATATTAACTTTTTACTTATTTCACACCATGTCTGAAGTTTCCCATCCCTCATCTCCTCCCATTAATTCCCTCCCCATCTCTCCTGCCCTCCCCACATCCACTCCTCTGTTTCTGTTGAGAAAGGGGCAGGCCTCCCATGGGTATCAACAAAGCATAGCTTGTCAAGTTGAGGTAGGACTAAGCTCCTACCTTTGCATTAAAGCTGGGTGAGACAACCCAGTATGGGGAATAGATTTAACATTGTCTGTTGAACTCAAGTTGACATGGCATAAGGGCAGAGCCTGGGAATCCATTTCCATCTTTTCACACTAACTCACTCACAGCATCCTACTTACTATGGATCTGAAGCCTGGGGCCTCTTTATGTCTGAATTCCTACCTAAACATAGGAGTCTATTTTAAGACCTGAAAAATCAGTACATTCAACCTAATCACAGAAGCCCTGCCCCCATACACACATGTATGTCAAACAAACAGGGACACAAAATCAAATTATTCTTTGTTGTAAACTTAACAGATTAGTTTAACTCAAATAATCACATAAAACCATTAAGTGATTCTCAGTCTGTGGGTTGCAACCCTTTTGGGAGTCAATGACTCTTTCAGAGGGGTCACCGAAGACCACTGGAAACATCAGATATTCATATTACAATTCATAACAGTAGAAAATTGCAGTTATGAAGTAGCAATGGAAATAATTTTATGGTTGTGGCTCACTGCAGCATGAAGAACTGTATTAAACGGTCGAGGCATCAGGAAGGTTGAGAACCACTACATTATGGCTTTGGGAAATCTTGTACAAATGGTCCCTTTAACTCACTGTGAGGGGTGAAGCTCTGGCCCTGCCCAGAAAGTCCACACTGATGCACATTTCTTCACTTGTCTTTCCCTGAGCAGAAGCAGCAGCTTCTGCATTTCCTGCATTGACTGATACCAGTTTTGTAAGTGGTTTTTTATTTGCTTGTTTGTTTTAGTTTTTTGCAGGGTGAGGATTTTCGACAGGGTCTTGCTCTATAGCTCAGGTTTGCCTCAAACTCAGGATCCTTCTGCCTCAGCCTCCCAAGTACTGGGATTATAGACTTGCATAACCATGCCCAGCTCAGTACTGGCTTGATCCTCTGAAACTACCTACGTTAAGCCCACTATGCGTCAGCAAAAGCCCTTCAGTGACCTGAGGACAGCAACCTTCTCTCTCCTCACACCCTGGCCTGCCAGGAAGCCGTGGTTCTTCAGGGAAACATCCCTAATGCTGATGTGGAGACTTCACACCAGCCTGGCAAACACTACAGACATCTCCAGGATGTGTTCCTAAAATGAGGACACAGCTTCCATTTAGAAAGCGTGTGTGTGAATGTGCCTGTGTGTGTGCCTGTGTGTGTATGTGTGTGCCTATGTGCTTGTTCATGTGCCTGTGTGCTTGTGCCTGCGTGTGTGTGCCTGTGCATGTGTGACTGTGTGCATGTACCTGTGTGTGCCTATGTATGTTCATGTGCCTATGCCTCTGTGTGTGTGTGTGTGTGTGTGTAGGTTAGGAAGTAAGTTCTTCCACTCTTGCTGGCTCAGAAGGGCAGAAATGTCACTTCCCCAGAAATTAACTGGTCCCCAACTTCAAACACAGTTAAGACTTTTACCAGGTGGCCCAAGAATGGAAACACTTACTATCAGGGGGAGCAGCAGAGGCAGTGGGAAAGGAAAGAACCTAAGAATTTATGGGGGGGGATTCTCTGACAGATTTCTGTCACTAGAATAAGGTCTGAGAGTTGGGAGAGCTAGTGAAAACCTAACAAGGAATAGTGTTCCCAGAAGAAGAGTTCTGTTCTGGAAACCAGAGTGTCTGTGGATACCATATTTACTGATTTTGTGGACCTCACGAAACATGAGCAAGAGTGGTCCGATGCTTGGCTGATTATCCTGGTGCTTTTCATGGCAAGGTGAGATTGTAATACAGATGAAAAATCAGTTTCAGGGGTGAAGATATGTTCAAGGTCATGTACTAGTAATAGCAGAATTGAGATTTAAACCAATCCAA